TATAGAAACCTTTGCAGTAACCACACAAAGAACAATAGAGACCCAGCAGAACCTCTGTTTAAGACTTGTGTTTTCTAGAGGGATCTTTTTTGACCAAAGTATCAGTTTTAGTCATCTTAGCATAAGCTGAACTAAACTGTGTCTAAATCTGGGCTGAAAATGCACCACAGCGAAGGCAAAAGGTATATTTGAGTTATTATAACAAGACAAGCGATTTGAAACAAAAGTGGATGCAAAAAGTAACCGCCTCATCCCAGTTATCTTGTTTTCATAATCACTGGAAGCTACAGAAATAGCCCAGCCCTAACACTAGACACTGACTTCAAAATTTACCGTTTTAATCTTGACAATAATTTAGTTGTGTGTGTCAAATATAACAGAACAAACTGGTCACACAGCATCTCATCCTATCTTCTCACCACAAAATATCCAATAAACCTTAAATATTCACCTCAGACGTGAGACCAGCTCCTTCTCTTCCATGAGGAAGTCCAGAAGCACTTTGCTGGCGTAATTGTAGGCTTTCTCTATCTGCTCCACGTAGGCCCTCTCCTTCAGGGTGTACAGCACCTCCTTAGCATCAGGACACGTCACGTCCCGGCCGCACTCCCGCACCACGTTGAGATATTTCCCTGCACGATAGCACGTCTCAACATCGCCTAAAGCATTCCCATTTTATGTTCAACAAGTCTTAAATGTTCTGTTTTTACCTGTGCTTAGTATTTTGTCTGCCATCTTCTGTAGAAAGGAGGGAATCCGATGCTGCACGATGGTGTATCTCTGATCCCAGTACTTGTCGTTGTAGTCTTCCTGAATCTTCTCCTTTTGCAGCTCGTGCTCCTCCACCATGAACTCACTGTGGAGTCACAAAATATGAGCTTTACATTTTACAACACACATTATTCAGAGTTGAAACTCTGGGAGCAGCTGAACCTGTATGGATCCTTGATGATGCCCCTGTAGATCCACTTCTCCAGGATCTCAAAGTACGGGACGCTGGCTGCTTTGGTGAGGTACAGACACAGCTCCTGAGCCTGGCTGTCACCGGTGTAATTAAAGGTTCGGTCATGGAGAAGGCTCAACGTGGACCCTCCCATACACTCTCCTTTGTCCACAGAGGACGCTGTGAACACAACAGAAAGCATCATTTAACTAAATATCTGTTTTATAATAGGTGAGATTCCACACTAATCAGGCATTTTCAAAGTGTTCAGTGTTGTTTGTGTTCAGCGTTGGTGAATCTAGACCCAGTTTGATGTGCCAAGTTCTCTTATAAAGTGGGTCAGATCACCTTCCAGTCAAATTAACTCTCTGGTGCTCGTTTAAAGAAGCTTAGACTGCAGGTCTTCTACGATCTGTGACCCACAAACTAACGTTTACAAAGTGAAAACATTCAGAACTCCTCCTCACCACTAATCTGCAAATTCAGCTCTATATCTCTACAACAGATCAACATTTTTTCTTAATATTTGCTTTGTTAAACATATGTTTAAATATTTTTAAGCTTATTTTAAACAACATCTGAAGACAGTTTAGAAGCAGATGAAATTTTAGGGCTTGTAATTCAGTAAACTGTGCTGGTATGCAGAAGCAGAGATAAACAACTTTAAGTTAGAAATCTAAATCAAGTCCACTCTGGCAAAGGAGAAGTAGCACTCTATTCTCAAGAGACTTTCTCCACCCTCTGGTTTGCATCTTGTCCTCCTTTTGCACCAGGATGGTGCCAGAACGCCAGCAACTCCTGATCACTGCGCCCCTAACTCATCCTTCTTTCCATGTTTCTTTGCCAACTTTTAATTCATCATGGCTGCAAACAACGACCATGTTATCTTCAGTTTCTTACCGATTGATGAC